GCCGAAGTCAGATGCTTAACCAACTGAGCCACCCAGGCGCTCCAGTTCAGCTTCTTTTGAAGCAAAGGAAGAGTACCTTTTGCAACAACAGTATCTCACTAGAATTATTTTGTTTTCGTAGTATCCATATTTATGGGTTTGTTAATGGCAATTGATACATATTTTTTTAATTTTAGTAGAGATATAAAGTTTTCTTGAAAAAATACATATAAGGGGGCCTGGGTAGTCGGTTGAGCATCCGACTCTTGATTTCAACTCAGGTCATGATCTCCTGGTTTGTGGGATTGAGCCCTAAGTGCACAAAGCCATCTTGGGATTCTTTCTCTCCTTCTCTCTGCCCCTCCCTCCCCCTCACGCTGGCACCCACACTCTCTCTCCCTATTCTCTCTCAAATAAATTAAAGAAAAAATAAATATATATTCTAAAAATTATTTGGGAAGACAGGGAACAAATTAGCAATAGATGCAACACCGTGAATAATGTCAAGAACAATAGTGAACAACAGAAGTCAGAGCCAATGACAACATTTTTAAAGTTTATTTATTTATTTTTAAGAGACACAGAGAGAAAGAACCAGTGAGCATGAGAGTTGGAGAAGAGCAAAAAGGCGGGGGGGGGGAGGGAGAGAATCTTAAGCAAACTCCAAGCTCAGCTCAGAGCCTGACTTGGGGTTTGATCTTATGACTATGAGATTGTGACCTGAGCCAAAATTAGGAGCCAGACACTCAACTGACTGACCCATCCAGGTGACCCTAATGACAGTATGTATATATGCATGTATTTATTTTTTAAAAAAATTTTTTAATGTTTTATTTATTTCTAGGAGAGAGAGAGAGAGACAGCGTGAGCAGGGGAGGGCCAGAGAGAGAGAGGGAGTGACAGACTCTGAAACAGGCTCCAGGCTCTGAGCTGGCAGTCAGCACAGAGCCCGACGTGGGGCTCGAACCCACGAACTGCGAGATCATGACCTAAGCGAAAGTCGGACGCTTAACCGACTAAGCCACCCAGGCACCCCTAAATTTATTTATTTTTGAGAGAGAGAGAGTGGAGCCCAAAGCAGGTCTCAAGCTCACCTGATGTGGGGCTCGAGCTCACAAACCCTGAGATCATGACCTGAGCCGAAGTTGGATGAGCCGCCCAGGTGCCCCTAAGGACAACATTTATATGAAATTCTAGAAAGGGGAAAACTAATCTGTGGTAAGAGAAGTAGATCTGTGGTTGTCTGGGGTGGGATGAGGACAGGAAAGGGCCCCGAGGGAACTGATTTGAGGTGATGAAAATATTCTACATCTTGATTGCGATTTCATGTATGTATACCTTTGTCAAAACTCACTGAACTGTACAATGAAAATGGGTGCGTCTTACTGTATACAGATTATTCCTCACCAAGGGCAAAAGACTAAAAACAAAGGCTAAAGAAAACTTTCTCCTAGGTGCTCGACTGGACCCCTGACCCACGGACCCTGGCGTGTGCGACTCCTCAGGACTTACTGGCAGGTGAATAACCACTTCATTCCTGAGAGCTGTGTTGTCAGAAAGGACGACCCCCTCCCCCAGCTCCAAACGTGGGAGGCCAGCCCTGGGGGGGTCCCCGGAGGGGGTGCCACGAGCCTGGCTGCTGGAAAGGGGGTCAAGCTGCATCGGGGTTGGGGCACGTGGGCAGGACACCTGAGGCCCTCACAGCACTGGCTGAACCAGGGAAACAGGAACTCAAGTCAGGTGACAGAGCTACAGGTCAACCCATGGAGACAGCAGTTTTGTTCACTGGGTTTTCTTTTTATTTCTTTTTATTATTTTTTTAATGTTTATTTTTGAGAGAGAGAGAGAGAGAGAGTGAGCATGCAGGTGAACAGGAGAGGAGCAGAGAGGGAGGGAGAGAACCCCAAGCAGGCTCCAAGCTGACAGCAGAGAGCTCGATGCGGGGCTTGAACTCATGAACCATGAGCTGACGCTGGATGCTTAACCAGCTCAGCCACCCAGGCACCCCATGGGGTTAAAAAAATTTTTTTTAAATTAATTTATTTTTAGAGAGAGAGAGAGCTCACACACAAGTGGGGAAAGGGCAGAGACAGAGGGAGGGAGAAAATCTCAAGAGGGATCCATGCTGTCAGCTAGCAGCCCGACTTGGGGCTTGAACCCATGAACCGTAAGATCATCACCTGAGCCGTCTGTATTCCACACTCTACTCCGGCCTCAGTGAGTCACACCACACCCCGCAGGTCCTCTAAGGGTATCTTTGGCAGTCTTCTTTCCCAGCAAGACTTCCTCCCTTGTTTCTTGCTCCCCCTCAACCTGAAGGAGATTTTTTCCCTCTGAACTCTAATATAATCATGTCCGTGTTATAGCGCTTTCCAGTTTCTGAGACGTGTCACAGTCATGGAGGTATGTCACTGCAAAGTGCTTGTGATTGTCATCATGCCTAACCCCCAGGGCACACACTTGTGTGTCAGCCCCAAATACTCTCCTTCAAGCACATCTATGTGCATGGTGGAAGCTTACCGACTGTGGGGGCTTGGCCCTTTGGAGTTTTTCTCTCAAAATGAGTAGTTCTTAAAACCTTAAAAACATTTTTAAAAAAATATTTATTGAGAGAGAGAGAGAGAGAGTGCACAAGCAGGGAAGGGGCAGGGAGAGAGAGAATCCCAAGCAGGCTTTGCAGTGTCAGCGCCGAACCCAACTTGCGGCTCGATCTGACAAACTGTGAGATCATGACCTGATCTGAGATCAAGAGTCAGATGCTTAGCTGACTGAGCCACCCAGGTGCCCCAAAACCTTTTACAAATTATTACACTCGTTGGGTCTCTGATGAAAGTTATACATCTACGCTCACAAAAGTGCGTACTTTCTATATACGATGTCAGTGTTCACCAACCCCTAGCCTGACCATGAACTCAACTTAAGCTCTCAGTCTGAGGAATACAGATGGCCAGCTGCGAAAGTCGTTCAGGTGTGTCACGTCTTCCCTCCTTTTCTTCACTTGCTTCTCTGTCCCTCTGTCCCCTCCAGAGCTGCCTGGGGCGGCGTGCCCAGCCTTCAAAATGATCACATCCCCCCAGTCATAAACACCTTTATTCCCTAGATCACACGCAACAATAATAAATGTGTTAATATATACTATACATCTAGTTGTGAGACGGAAAACTACTCAGATTTAAAACTGAGAATTGTGCAGACGAGTGGGTGACTCAGTCGGTTGAGCATCTGACTCTTGATTTCGGCTCAGGTCCTGTTCCCAGGGTTGTGGGATCGAACCCCGCATCCCGCTCCGCGTTGAGCACGGAGCCTGCTTAAGAATCTCCCTCTGGGGCGCCTGGGTGGTTCAGTCGGTTGAGCGTCGGACTTCGGCTCAGGTCATGATCTCACTGTTCGTGGGTTCAAGCCCCACATCGGGTTCTGTGCTGGCAGCTTGGAACCTGGAGCCTGCTTCAGATTCTGTGTCTCCCTCTCTCTCTGCTCTCCCCCACTCATGCTCTGCCTCTGTCTCAAAACTAAATAAACTGGGGCGCCTGGGTGGCTTAGTCGGTTAAGCGTCCGACTTTCGCTTGGGTCATGATCTCGCGGTTCGTGGGTTCGAGCCCCGCGTCGGGCTCTGTGCTGACTGCCAGCTCAGAGTCTGGAGCCTGTTTCGGTCTGTGACTCCCTCTCTCTGACCCTCCCCTGCTCACGCTGTCTCTCTCTCTCTCTCCTAGAAATAAATAAAACATTAAATAAATAAATAAACTATAAAAAATTTTAAAAAAAGTTTCCCTCTGCCCCTCTCCCTGTTCGTGCTCCCTTTCTCTCAAAAAAAAAAAAAATTAATTGAAAATTACTGAGCTGGGTAGTATAAAAGGTCTTCCACATAAAGTTCAGTGGGAAAACAGAAAGCAAAACAAAGTCAGACCAGACTTACAACACAGAATAACGACACATAAGAGCGTAGAGAATAAGAGCCAAGAAAACTGAACATCCGAAGTTTGATATACGGGGACGGTGTCAATTTTTCCTTTGCGTTAGTTAACCTCCGATTGTTTGGGTAATAATCCGAAATCTCATCCTTCATTGCTCCCAGCTCGGCTGGTCAGAATAACAAAAAGCAGAGGAAACCAACTCCCTTATGGTGTAAACACCACCACATCCACATCTATATCTGATTTAAACGGAATTCCCCCGGCCCAGAATGAACCTGGAGAGGGGCTTTAAGCCACCAGAACGTCATGCGCCCTCTGGAAACCCGACCTGCGGGCTTCTTGGCCCAGCTTTCCCACCTGGAGAAGGAAAAAAGCAGAAGGAAACCTTTCCTTCCAAGCCAATCGGGCCTCCTCCGGGGGAGGCTTGGGTGTTGAAGGCGGCCCTCGTTATTCGCAGGCTGGGGGCCTGAGGGATGTGGGCCCCAGGACGGCAGCCGGGGCCTCCAGACGCCGCCTGCGGCCCGGTGGGCTGTGGGACAGGAGGCGTCAGGGTCCGCGGCGCTGAGAGCCCCTCCCCGGGGCAGAGCCGCGGTTCCAGGTGCTTCCAGGGCTCTCCTTCAACAGGCTCCACCTGGCACTTGCGGCCTGTAGAGCAGGCACCCGGCTGGGCCCGGGCAGAGGAGGAGGCGTGGGGAGCACGGCGCCACCAACCACGGGGGCCAGCCGGCCTTCGTGCCGACTCTCCGCTCACCCTTGTCCTGGGAGGTGACGGGTCCGCGGCGTCCTGGGTGTCAGGTGAGGCGGCAGGGCCACCGCTGACTAAAACAGGCCTTTGTGTGTTCTGGTTTGGACACGTTGACCCCCCCACCCCCACCCCACTCCCCGCCCGGGGAGCTTTTTTCCAATTTGAACTCTTACTGCTTGCTGCTCTGTACTTGGCTTTCTTTCTGCGCACGTCTCTTGCCCCGTTCCCAGGACCAGCGCCCCTGACAGACGAACATTCTAGAAGGCCACGCTGGGGTGTGGGGGAGGCTGGGGGAGAGCGAGGGTGTGGTGGGGGGAGGGCTTTGTAAGATTTTTCCAGTGAGTAAAAAAGACTCCAAGGCAAAATGTTCCGCAGGAGCAGTTTTATTGCATGCACCCCCGGCGAGGCCCCCAGCGACTCAGGAGAGGGGAGTCGGGGAAGTCGCGCCCGGGTTCCGTGGTGGGGGGTTTTATAACCTGTAGGTGGGGGTGGGCAAGTCCAGGTAACAGGGGCGGTCTCTTGACTGGAAAGTCCCGGGCGGGAGGTTTTGGTTTCTTGCCTAAGTTTCTGTTTCCCGCCGAAGTCGGAACGGTCACTGATGTATTGGCGGGAAGGTCAGCCATCTTAAGAAGTCGGCCATTCTGTGGCGTCTCTGCCCTACCTCTCACCCGCCCAACAGGCTTGAGCATCTGGCGTTTGCCCCCACTCTGCCACTCCCTTGCTGTGTGCAAGCCGTTCTGTCTCTGGTCTCTTCCCTCCCTTGTAAAATGGGAGCGAGAATAGCTTAGGGGCCCAACAAGCCGAAGTGTGAACCCGTGAGGGGCCCTCAGTGCCACCATTTGCGGTGTTCCGCGTCTCGTCTCACCATGGCCACCATACTCCCTCATCTTTCTCCTTTATGATTGAAACCAGCTCAAAAATTGCCTTGCTCAAAGTCTGCCTGTCAGCGAGGACTGCATTATTAAGGGTCACTTCTAGAAGTTTTATTGCCATTTTTTTGCATCTCTGTTGAAACTGCGGTCAAAGACACTCCTTTATTGCGCCCCCTGGTGCTGTGGGGGAGGCTTTTACTCACTGGGAATATACACCAGGCAAGGGCCTCACAACTGGTCGGTGGAACCGTGAGATCAGTGGGTCCTTGTCCGGGTTCCAGGACTGGGTGCAGCAAAATCTGGCCGAGGTGGAGATTGGCTGCGATGGGTGGCAGAATGGACCCCCGATTCTTGAGGAATCAGGAACAGATCAGCCGGGAGTCATATGGAGGTACAAGGCCGGCCCCACCTGGTGCTTGGGCTCTTAGATTGGGTACAAATGCCTCATCTGTCCCTAGAAGCATCAAAGCAGAATCAAATAATGTCAAAAGCATTTAGTTTACAGCAAAACAGTGTTCATCTGTGCAATATAGGAAATATCATACCTATGAAACAGAACAGGTAGTAATGATTATTACAGTAGAGATCATTAATTAAGCACTGGCTGATGGGACTATGCTAAGAGCAATCATTTACCCTCCAGACCCTTCTGTGAGGTAGTACTATTGTTATTCCTGTTTTTAAAAAAATTGAGATACAGTTGACACGTAACATTATATTAGCATCAGGTATATGCATAATGACTTGGTATTTCTGTATATTGTGAGATGATCTATACATGTGAAATAACATCTGTCAACACACACGGTTACACAGTTACAATTTTTTGTTTATCTATCTTTGAGAGAGAAAGAGTGCGAATGGGGGAGGGGCAGAGAGAGAGGGAGACGCTGAATCCCAAGCAGGCTCCAGGCTCTGAGCTGTCAGCACAGAGCCCGATGTGGGGCTCGAACTCATGATTGTAAGATCATGACCTGAGTCAAAGTCAGCGGCTTAACCAACTGAACCACCCAGGCACCCCTACAATTTTTTTTCCCTATGAGAACTTTTAAGATTTACTCTCATAGGTGCACTGGGGTGGCTCAGTAGGTTAAGCACCTGACTCTTGATTTTGGCTCCTGTCATGATTTCACAGTTCATGAGTTCAAGTCCCGTCTTGGGCTCTGAACTGATGGCTTAAAGCCTGCTGCTTGAGATTCTGTCTTTCTTTCTCTCTGCCCCTCCCCCACTCCATCTCTCTCAAATATATAAATAAACTTTAAAATATAATAAAATTTAAAAAGGCTCTCTTAGTAACTTTCAAATATGTAATACAATATTATTATGTTTAAAATTAATTTTTAAAAATGTTTTATTTCTGAGAGGGAGAGAGACAGTGTGAGCAGGGGAAGGTCAGAGAGAGGGAGATACAGAATATGAAGCAGGCTCCAGGCTCTGAGCTAGCTGTCAGCACAGAGCCCGACATGGGGCTCAAACCCATGAACCGCGAGATCATGACCTGAGCCGAAGTTGGACGCTTAGCTGACTAAGCCATCCAGGCGCCCCACAATATTATTAACTCTAGTTCCATACTGTTCATCATATCCCCATGGCTTATTTATTTCATAACTGAAGGTTTGTACCTTTTGACCACTTTTACTCATTTTGCCTAACCCCTCCCCCTCCTAACTCCTCCCTACCTCCCCACCTCCCTCCTGGCAACCACCAATCTGTTTTCTGTATCTATAATTTCAGTTTTTATTTTTTGTCTTTTGTTTTAGATTCCACATATAAGTGAGATCATATAGGTATTTGGCTTTTCCTATATATTTCATTTGGCTTAATGCCCTCAAGGTGCATCCACGTTGTTGCAAATGGCAAGGTTTCCTTCTTTTTTATGGCTGAGTAATACTCCATCATACATACTGCAATTTCTTTATCTGTTCATCACCACATGGACACTTAATTTGTTTCCATGTCTTGGCTATTGTAAATAACATTGCTGTGAACATGGGGGTGCAAAGATCTTTTCAAGTTAGTGTTTTCATTTCCTTCTTTTTTTAAATTTTTTTTTATTTTAAAAAATGTTTGTTTATTTTTTTACAAATAGTTTATTGTCAAGTTGGTAGATTTCCTTCTGATAAATACTCAGTAATGCAATTACTGGATCATAGGGTAGTTCTGTTTTTTAAATTTTTTGAGGAATGTTCACACTGTTTTCCACAGTGGCTGCACCAGTTTGCATTCCTACCAAACAGTGCATGAGGGCTGCCTTTCTCCACAGCCTCACCAGCACATGTTGTTTCTTGTCTTTTTAAAAAAAATAACCACGGTAACCGACGTGAGGTGATGCCTCACTGTGATTTCGATTCGTATTTTCCTGACGAAGAGTGATGCTGAGCACCTCTTCATGGCCCTGGTGGCCATCTTTGTGTCTTCTTTGGAGAAATGTCTATTCAGATTCTCTACCCATTTTTAATTGGATTGTTCGTTTGTTCGCTGTTGTGTGAGTTCCTTATATGCTTTGCGTATTAATCCCTTATCAGGTGTATAACTTACAAATATTTTCTCCCATCCACAAGCTGCCTTTTCATTTTATTGAAAGTTTCTTTTGCTGTTCAGAAGCTTTTTAGTTTGATGTAGTCCCACTGTTTATTTTTAATTTAATTAATTAACTTGTTTTAACGATTTTAGTTTTTTTAACGTAATCTCTACACTCAGTGCGGGGCTTGAATTTACAACCCTGAGATCAAGAGACACATGCTCTACAGACTGAGCCATCCAGGCGCCCCACACTGTTTATTTTTGCTTTTGTTACCTTTTATTTTTTTTGGTGTCAAATTAAAAGAAATCATCACCAAGGCCGATAGTGAGGAGCTTACACCTCTTTTCTTATACTCGTTTTATTTTTTATTTTTAAAAAGTTTATTTTTATTTGAGAGATAGCAACAGAGCACAAGCAAAGGAGGGACAGAGGGAGAGAATTCCAAGCAGGCTGCATGCTCAGTGTGGAGCCTGATGCGGGGCTCGATCCCACCACCCTGGGATCCTGACCTGAGCCAAAATCTAGAGTCATGCACGCAACTGACTGACTGAACCAGCCAGGCGCCCCTATTATTATACCCATTTTAATATTGAGAAAACTGAGCCTAACTTGTGCATGAGTGCGCTGCTAGTAGCAGAAATGGAATCTAATATTAGAGTTATGTCTCGGTCACCTCAGGCTGCAAAAACAAATGACCATAGCCTGAGGGGCTTGGACAGCAAACATTGGTTTCTCAGAGTTCTGAAGGTTGCGAGTTCAAGAGCAGGGTGCCGGCAGATTTGATTTCTGGTGAGGGCTCTTCTCTTGGTTTGCAGAAGTCTGTCTTCTCACTGGCCTCGCATGGTGGAGAGAGATCATCTCTCTTGTCTCTTTTTAGAAAGACACTCATCCCATTTGTGGGAGCTCCACCCAAAGACACGCCACCAAATAACATTGTACTGATGACTGTGGATTCAAAATATGGATCGAGAGGGACATAAACATCAGTCCCCAGCAAGGTGGCAACAGCCATTTGCTTTTAGTATAGCATCCCGCTCTAGGCACTCAGGACCTTTCTCAGTATGTGATATTTAGACCAACCCACCTGCCATTAAGTCATTGGATCCTGACAGCACCTATGCTATAGAAAGTGGTATTCATTTAGTTATGAACATCTGCTGAGTGTGTACTGAATACAGGAAGTTATAGATGTGCAATCTCACTTGTGCTGAGCAGCCTTGCTTGTTTCCTCCTAGAGGAGGCAAATGAAAATGACAAGCTAGTTCACGGAAAGTAACACTATAGCAGAGACTGTTGCCTTTTGCTCCAGCTATTTTCTCCCCATGAAGTGACCCTGTGTGGCCTCTGAGAAATCACTGTCTCTTGTTGTAGGAGTCCCTTTACCTTCCCCATGCCTCTAGCAGTTTCCTCCCTTTTTTTTTCTTTCTGTAAAGATAATTGATTTATTTTGAGTGAGAGGGTGGAGGAGGCAGAGAAAGAGGGAGACAGAATCCCAAGTAGGCTCTGCTGCCAGTGAAGAGCCAGATGTGGGGCTCGAACCCACAAACCTGGTTCATGACCTGAACCAAAACCAAGAGCCAGACGGTTAACAACTGAGGCACCGAGGCGCCCCCTAGCGCTTTCCTCCTGACCAAGCTCTTAGCCATGAGCACATCCTGCAGTGCCTGATGGCATCACATGACCGTGGATTTCCCATCAGTAACTGTGAGTCAAAAATTACATGTGCTCTTTTCTTGGAAATACATTTTTTTGCTATTAACATTCCACACTACATGTATTATTATAATTTTAAGGAAGCTTTTTTCTTTAGCAATTTTCACAAACTGAATAACCTACCCTATAAATTGCATTGTGCTTATAATTTTCTTTAAAATGCATTGAAGTCTCTTTATTTTATTTTTATTTTATTTTTAAGTAATCTGCCTAGCCAGCGTGGGGCTCGAACTCACCACTCCGAGAATCACATGGTCCTCCGACCGGGCCTGCCAGGCTCCCCTAAAATGCAGTAAAAGCTCTTTCAGTCATAAATAGTCTCTATCCTTGGAAATTCCTCAGGCTCAGTGTATATTTCTACACATCCATGAGGATTTGGAGACAGGGGCATCACACTTTGTATCAGAAAAGTGGAGTTGAGTTCTGGCTGGGTCACTTCCCAGCTGTGCCTTTGGGTGAGGCGTCCAGCTTCTCCAGTTTGAAGTCCCTCATCTGTAAACTGTGCCTTGGGGACTTTACATCATACTTTGGTGTTTTCTTATACTTTGGACCAAAACGTAGTGGCAGGTAAATCATTTTGTTTACTTGGCTGCTTGAGGACAGAGGGTATTTCTCTTATGCGTTCGTTGCCACAGTGCTTGCTAAAAGCGGGTGCCAGTAAATATTAACCTCCTTATTAAACTGATGATGTTCATGACTTCAAGTAAAGGATGGAAAAGAGAGGAAAACTGAAGCGTTAGCTATTGCACAGAATCCATTTTGAATTTAGGTGCTTAGGGGTTAAAAGAAGTCCCCGAGGGCAGTTATTTAAATTGAGCTAAACAGTGCTCAAATGAATACAAATCAAGTAATCATTTAAAAATAACACTGTCCAGGGGCACCTGGGTGGCTTAGTCGGTTAAGCTTCCGACTTTCGCTTGGGTCATGATCTCGCGGTTCATGGGTTCGAGCCCCACGTCGGGCTCTGTGCTGACTGCCAGCTCAGAGCCTGGAGCCTATTTCGGAAGTCTGTGTCTCTCCCTCTCTCTGACCCTCCCCTGCTCACGCTGTCTCTCTCTCTCCTAGAAATAAATAATAACACTGTCCAGGGGCACCTGGGTGCCTTAGTTAAGCATCTGACTTCAGCTCAGGTCATGATCTCGTGGTTCGTGAGTTCAAGCCCGGCGCTGGGCTCTGTGCTGACAGCTCAGAACCTGGAGCCTGTTTCAGATTCGGTGTCTCCCTCTCTCTGCCCCTCCCCTACTTGTGCTCTGTCTCTCAAAAATAAATAAACATTAAAAAAATAAATAAAAATAACCCTGTCCAACAATAGGAGTCTGACAACTCATCAAAATGGTCAAGTTCAGGGTGAATCCTGTCCTGCTCAACTTCATCAATATTCTTAGCAGTTTGGAATCTCAACAAGTTTGGCTGAAGCAGATTGAAGATTAGAAATTGAGCATCTTTGGGTGCTTGCCTGACTTCTGAAGCCACCTAGATCCTGTCTATAGTTGATAACAGGATCCTTGGAGATGAAAACTGAAAGCTGTTTATCCACTTAAAAGTATTCTTGGGGCGCCTGGGTGGCTCAGTCAGTTAAGCGTCTAACTCTTGGTTTCAGCTCAGGTAATGATCCCAGGGTTGTGGGATGGAGCCTGCTTAAGATTCATTCTCTCTCTCTTTCTCTCCCTCTTCCCCTCCCCCGTGTGTGCGTCTGCATGCATGGGCACACAAGCCCATGCGCGCGCTCTCTCTCTCTTTAGAATAAGCAACGCCTGTGTACAAAATATTGCCAGCCTAATGAAATGGATACGACTGCATTCCCAGCACTAAAGAGGTTCTAATTTGCCTGGGGACCTAAGACACATTTACAAATTATTACAGAACAACAATGGATATGTTAAGTAGTAACATGAAATAAAGGTCTAAAGAGAGTCTTCCGTGGTTCCCAGGAGGAAGAATAGACTGAAGGGAGAGAATTGCCCAGGAAATGGAATCAGCAAAGACCTTCCTCTTGGTTATAGCCAGAGGGAACACACCTAGCCAGGTACCCTCACAGACAAAAAAAAAAGGAAAATGAAAAAGGCTTCTCAGTAAAGGAACCCCCTGGAGTAACTAGTCCTCTGGGGTCTCCCGCAGGGTAGTGGCTGTAAAGCCGTCTCCCAAAAGCCAGACTCCAAATCTGGCATGAGCTTGGCTAGCAGTCCGGTTAGATACATAAGATCCCGGTTAGCCCAATGAGTAGAAAGTTTTACTCAAACCCTGATGTTACTTTAAACAAAAAAATTGTCAGGTTTTACATAAAGATCCAAATCCGAATTTGCTATTGTGAGTTTGTACCTTCCTAAATTTGCCCAAACAGAGATGCCTTGATTTCTTTTCCCTTCTCTTTTTTTATTTGTGTAATGTTTATTTTTGAGACAGAGACAGGGCACGAGTCCGGGAGGGGCCGAGAGAGAGAGGGAGACACAGAATCCGAAGCAGGCTCCAGGCTCTGAGCTGTCAGCACACAGCCCGACGCAGGGCTCGAACCCACAAACCACGAGCTTATGTCCTGAGTTGAAGTCGGATGCTCAACCGAGTGAGCCACCCAGGCACCCCTCTTTTCCCTTCTCTTACAGGAGAATGTGTGAAGGAACACTCATTTGACATTTTGCATATTTTCTAAACCCATCAAATCGAAATATTATCTGAGTAGAGGTGAAGTCTTACCACAATGAATAAGAAACTATACTTTGTTATTGGGTTGATGTTATTGTATGAGAAACAACTAGAAGTCAAAGCAAACAAGCCAGATAGTTTTGTAATAGAAAGCAAAGAGCCAAACAGGACGGCCCGGTTTAGATTTCCCCTCTGGCACTGGCTCTTTGGGCGCCCCACCCTCCAGCAAGCCCTCTCTGTCTCACTTTTCTGTCTATAAATCAGAGACAGTAGCACCTAACTCAGAGAGTAATCATCAGTAGGACATGTCATACATTTGCCAGATACTAAATAAACATAGGACAACTCATTCACAGAGTATTAAATCTAAAGTAAGCATTAGCCCTTTCAAAATAATCACCTTGGAAGAATCATTCCAGGGATGTGGTCCTTGGTGAAAAGAGATCAGAAACTAAGTGACATTGTCTTCGGAAGCTGTGGCATATTCTTTTTTAGTATTCCTTGTATTCCTTGTGGTGGTGAATCTTCCTCTTTGGAAGGTAGGGGTTTTTTGTCTGTTGGTTTGTTTTTGTTTTGTTTTTCCAACAGCCCGAAGTCTGTCCAACAAAGTCAAGAATGGTTACTAGAAGGAGACCACACTGGGAAGTACTTCTTGGCAAAAATGAGGATTGATTAAGCAGTCCACTTTCCTGTGTGGATCATCCTTTGAGACTTTGGAAATAGAAGGCTTTTTGGTAAAGTGCATGGATGTATTAGTTATCTGGTGCTGCCCAGGATTAAGCCCAAATTTAGCAATTTAAGACAAACGATCGTTGGCCTTCTCACTGTCTCTGGGTCAGGAATCTGGCCGCAGTTAGCTGGATGCTTAGGATTGGGGTCTGTCACCTTGCAGTGGGCTGAAATACAGACACTGGCTGGGACTGTGGTCATCTCCAGGCTCCCCTGGCGAGAGATCTGTTTCCAAGCTTGCTCATGGGGCCTTGCCCCCAGGAAAGAGGAAAGGAGCAAGAGAAAGAGAGAGCACGAGAGCAAGCAAGAGCGTTCCAGCGCCCTCATAAAATCTACAGACTTTTTCCAATCTCATCTTGGAGGTGACCCCCATTATTTTCGCCTTATTCTTTTTCTTGGACATGTGTCAATACGTTCAGGCCTCCCTCACGGAGCTGCAGGTACACAAGGGAATGGAAATGAAAAGGCAGGATCATTGAATCATTCTAGGAGTGACAAGGTTGAATGATTGCACTCATTTCAACAAGATCTCTAATTGATTTTTTTTAATGTTTTATTTATTTCTAGGAGAGAGAGAGAGAGACAGCGCGAGCAGGGGAGGGTCAGAGAGAGAGGGAGTCACAGACTGAAACAGGCTCCAGGCTTTGAGCTGTCAGCACAGAGCCCGACGCGGGGCTCGAACCCACGAACCGCAAGATCATGACCTAAGCGAAAGTCGGATGCTTAACCGACTAAGCCACCCAGGCGCCCCAATCTCTAATTGATTTTTAAAATTTTATTATTTTATAAGGATGCTATGCATTTTTTTCCCTATGGTATATCGTCGTGGGAAGATTACCCGACACTAACAACATGATCTGAGGGAATCGTCATCGGAGGCCTGACTCATTTTGGGTCATCCGAAGCAGAGAACGAAGTGCCTATCATGTTTACAACATTGACCAAGATTCTGGTATGCCAACATTTCCAGACAACTCGTCGCCTAGAATTTGGGGACTTTGTATCTTAATGCTTTTTATTTTTTCAGGATTTAATTAAGTATTAAGTTTCACAAGCCTGACAGGAAGCACCTGTTTTCAACCAGCCCCCATCAGTCTGTGAATGTGGCCTGCGGGTGCTCTGCAGCTAAGTACTGTCCTCGTTAACAAATGATGCCCTTTTTGTCTGTCAAGGTTTAGTAGACCTAGAACCTTTTCCTTCCGGTTTTTCAAGTGGGTTTTTTTTTTTTAAATTTTTTCAAAGCACATTTACAATTCAGGGTGCAGATTCTCAACAAAGCTGTCATGTTTATTTCCTAATGAAGTCATCCAATGTGTTGCAATCTGTTGCTTAAATCTTAGTGTCAACTCTCACAGATCACAGCAAAGAACCACAAGATGACAGCTGCTGGCTGACGACTGAACCAATGGATGAATGTGGGTGGAGCAGGAAGCCTTGACACAGAGTGGAAACTGACTACACGTCCTTTTGGACCTGGTTTTAAATTGGGTATTGATCTCGGTCTGTGAAACTATGCACTTAAATGTGAAATAAGCAAGCCTTTGCAAAAAGCGTACATTCTTTGCTTAGTCATGGACACCTACAAAATAATTAAATTTATAGCAACAAACTTTCTATACATATTTTTAATTCTTTTTTTTTAAATTTTTTTTTTTTTTTTTTAATTTCTAGGAGAGAGAGAGAGACAGCGTGAGCAGGGGAGGGTCAGAGAGAGAGGGGGAGTGACAGACTGAAACAGGCTCCAGGCTCTGAGCTGGCAGTCAGCACAGAGCCCGACGCGGGGCTCGAACCCACGAACCGCGAGATCATGACCGAAGCGAAAGTCGGACGCTTAACCGACTAAGCCACCCAGGCGCCCCTATATATATTTTTAATTCTTAAAGGTTCTTTTAATGCCCTCCTGCAGAGTTCTGTAAAGAGTGCTAATAATTTGATGTATATCTTCCAGATGTTTTCTATCCATCTACAAACATGCATATATTTATATACACAGATACATGAGATGATACTATATATATTCTTGAAAGGAAGGTTTTTTCAATAGACTTTTTCTTCTTCCCTCCTGATTTATAAGGGGACATACATTGCTGTTTAGCCACAGGTTAACAGTCTTCCTTATAGGATTTCTAAAAACACCTCTTGAATAGGTTTAAAGGTAATTAAAACTAAGTCATTCTTATAGGTTTTTGGTTTTTTCATTTTTGTTTTTACAGGCACGTTGAAAGTTAATGTATAAATGTTGCTCGTAAGCAATTTTTACTTAAAAAATTATAAACAAGTAGATAGCTTTGAAAGTCTTTTCCTTTTCAGGTCATAAGCTACGGTTACTTTTGTATGCACTTTGGCTAATTTATGTAAACATTGCCTACTATGACCATTTTAGACTGGGACAAAACTCTTAGCCAGTCAAGGGTGGTTGTGGGGGGAGACATTGTTAATCAACTTAACGATAACCCACAACACTCGGACCAACTATGAACTGAGTTGAATCTCTGATTATTTATAGTTCCTTTCCAGACTATTTTCTAAGTAAGGAGACTTTTCATGGCCTATGTCATCAGCATGAAAAATAAGAGGTGTACAACTTTCCTATTAAAATAGGAGGAAAGCCAAACAAAATCGCTATTTTTAAAGTAGCATTTGTAGGAATTACTTTACCTACTGACCTTTTTTGCATTTTATTTTTACAAATGCATTGTGGGTAGCGCCTAGCTGAATATGAAAGTAAACCCGGAGGGTGGCGCCTGGGTCTGGGCGAGGACTGCTGGCCCGGGCTGGGCGGGGCGGCGCTAAGCTGCCGGGGAAGCCGAGCCACGTGCTCGCCTGGCCCCTGCAGGCGGGGCCTCGGGGCTGTCCCGCTGACCCGGTGGGTTTCGCGTCAGTGTCGCCAGCGCGTGGCCGGGTCTGCATGTGCGCGCAGCCGGGGGGGGGGGGGGGGGGGGGGGGGGGGGGGGGGGGGGGGGCGCCGGCCGGCTGGTGCCTCTCCCTGGCCTGGCAGGTTCCGCCTTTCAGCTTTGTCTATCATTAGGAGCCCCTTCCCCCCAAATCCTGGCCGCCTACACCCTCGTCTCCAGTGGTTAGGGATTAAGGCGAGTTAGGGAGTGAAACAGGTGGCTCCAACAAGACTTCTTCTCCCCTCCCCCACCTCCCACCTCGTGTGTACTAAAAACCCTATTCTGGGAGTTCTTCGGAAGCTTAAATTACCCACAAATTACTAACTTTTTCGTGACCCACCGCAGAGGACCGGGGGATTCCATTTCAAGAAGTGATTGGGAAAATGCAAACCCACTGGTGACCTTTCAAAACTTTAAATATTCATAGTGAAGGTTAAGGACAAACTGAGAAGAGATTGCCCACGAAGTATTTTTGCACTTAAAAAACATTGCCGAGGAAAACTTGAAGTTCTTTTTCTTAAGGGAGGCTTGGGCTGAGGATGTGGGGTTGAACCTTGGCTTTACACGTCAGATATGAATTGCGCCCCAGAAACCAAAATATGAAATAAATAGATTTAATAAATGAGCCCTTCGGAATATCGGTGTCATAACTTTTTTTTGTAAGGATAGTTTCGATTTTTTTTTTTTATATTTTTTATTTATTTCTAGGAGAGAGAGAGAGCGTGAGCAGGGGAGGGTCAGAGAGAGAGGGAGACACAGGCTCCGAAACAGGCTCCAGGCTCTGAGCTGGCAGTCAGCACAGAGCCCGATGCGGGGCCCGAACCCACGAACCGCCAGGTCATGACCCAAGAGAAAGTCGGACGTCCAACCGACTAAGCCACCCAGCCGCCCCTCAATTTTTTTCTTTTAATTAAAAAACTTCCTTTTGGGGAAACTGACAGATTTCCTGCACTTCGTCAAACTAAAGCTCTTAATCAACATATTTCTTAGGGTTTTCCTACTAATGTCTGTTCTTTCTTCCTGTAAGGACAAAACCAGGAAACTATTCAGAGAAAGGCTGAGCTGACTTCCTAATTACCTATTGTGATTAGTGAGAAAAACTTTGGAAATAGGGAATATTGGGCCTGGGTTGAGAATTTTGGGAAAATGGAGAAAACCTCAAATTTAAGGTGGTAAGATTTTTAAATTGTACTGCTAAAAATGTTCATACAAAAAACTTAGAAGATTCTGAGGTCTGAAGTAGCTGATTCAGTGATTTAAAAAAATACATATAATTTAAGAAAGGCAGTAGATTAAGAAAAGTATTAGATTGTCAGATGCTGTATTTTAAAGGCGGATAATTACTCTAGTGGCATTCTTATAAATTTTAAGATTCTTTTGACAAAGGTAGGAATTTCTATAGCAGTAATCATTAGTTTGTACCACAACTTCCACTTTTCTTTATATATCTTATTAGATTATGTTACTGCTATCTTTAGAAGCCGGTGGAACAAATCAGCTTTTTCTCCCCTTCGTAATGCTTACTGGACTTAAAGGGAATCTGGATATGTCACCCCCAAATATGCCACTTTGACACAAATTTATTTTGAGTTGAGGGCAGTTGAGAATCCACAGATGAATAAAGGCTTCTTGGAGTTTCCCTTATCTGACCAGAAGCAGTAACTTCAGGGAAATAGGGCTGCCATAAATTCCTTCTTTGGGGAGAGTCTACTTACTCATAAATGCCTCCCTGAGAGAGTTTTGTGGCTCTCCAGAAGACACAAAGACACAAAACAGGTAGAGACAAATATTATCACAAATTTCCTCCTTATCGCCCATTTGTTCTCCTGAAAACTTACTTGTCTTTCCTAAACAATCTTGTTTGTTCTTCCCACAGAGCCTTCCCCCCACTTACTCTTCCCTACTAAGTATATAAATCCCAAATTCTAGCCCCGACTTTTGAGTTACTCATCACTGAGCGTTCCCTACGGAATGAGTGCTGCACAAGCAAATCTACTCTGTTTTCTTCTCTTACTACTGTCTTTAGTCAGTGCAATTCATGGCCCGAGAGGGTCCAGGAAAAGTTTTTTCCTCCTCTACTGGCCTGAAGGAATTAACATGAAATATCAGAACAAGTACTGATCAAAGAGGTTAATGGGGTGTGGGAGTGGGGGGAGACGAGTTTCGTCCGTGGTCTTTATAGAAACGGTCTTAGTCCTAGATCTGCAATGTCCAA